CCGTTCATCCAACCAATTTTGCACTTCTTCGAAATTGGCCAAGTGTTACCCAGCCATGCGCCATCGACTGGAACAAGTGATAATCGGAAGGGGCCAGGTCTGGCGAATACGGCGGGTGCGGTAGCAGATCCCATTTCAGCGTTTTAATGGTATCTTGGACGATGGAAGTGCGATGGCACGGAGCGTTATCGTGCTGCAATATCACTTGTTCATGTTTCGTGTCCCATTCTGGCTGTTTTTCGAGCAATGCATGGTTCAAATTGATCAGTTGTTGTCGGTAGCGATGCCCATTGACAGTTTCGCCCGGTTTCAGCAGCTCATAGTACGCGATTCCTTCTTGGTCCCACCAAACGCAGAGCATTGTCTTGTTTCCGAAGCGATTTGGCCATGCCGTCGATGTTGATGCTTCGCCAGGTGAAAGCTACGATCTTTTGCGTTTGGAATTCTCCAAATATATCCACTTCTCATCGCCAGTAACAATTCGATGCAGGAAACTCTTTCTTTCATACCGCAAAAGCAAAATTTCGGAAGTGGCTTTTCGATTTTCTATCTGTCTCTCAGTCAACTCATGCGGCACCCATTTTCCTTCCTTTTGAATTTTTGCCATAGCAAATGGTAAACGTTTGGAAATACCTTGGCGAATCATGTTTAGTGCCTCCGCAAGTTGATCTTATGTTTGCGTATCATCTTCATCCAATAACACTTGCAGATCGGCGTCCTCAATTGTTTTTGGTCTTCCGGAGCGCTCCTTATCCTCAGTGTCGAAATCGCCACTTCTGAAGCATTCAAACCAATATTCATAGGTAGTTTTCGATAGTGCATGTTCGCTGTAGGCTTCCTCAAGCAAACGACGTGCTTCAGCTGCACTTTTTTTCAAGTTAAAGCAGAAAAGCAAAGCTTCCCGCAAATGCTGTTTATTTGGCACAAAACTCGACATCTTCGTTGTTAGAAAGAATATTTTTGCGTTGCGATATGTGTTGGTATTACGATTGGTTATTGTTAACAGATGTCCAAGCTATAAAAAAACACAACTTCAGATATGTATGTCGACTACATGTGTCGTTAGCGCCATCCATGTGTGAAACCCGGAAACTTAGTTATGCACCTAGTATAATGACTTAATCTATAAAATGCAGACATTTAGAAAATATTAGAAAAGTTAATATTAAATATTGAAGAACAACACTTCTATAAAAAATTGGAGAATGGCTGTTTCTAAATTTATGAATAAATGTATCTTTGTTATCAACTTTTACTTTTGTCTAGATACATCTTTTATGTAAAGTTAGATGTCAGTAGAGATATACGAACTATTCGAATTCGAATCGAATCGAATCTAATATAATTCGATTCGATTCGAATCTAAATCCCTATGATTCGAATCCAAATAATTCGAATAGGAATTAAATCTATTGGATGCATCCAGAACTACGAATGCTCACTGAGCGCTCACAAATAGCCGCTCAGCACCGCTTACAAAGAAATGACGCAACCTGTTTCATCGGTTTCAACACAGGTTCATAGCACACTCGATAGCTATGATGCCGTGTATAAACGCCCTAACATAATATGCGTGAATGCGTCTTTGTTTACGAGTAATTTGCAGTTAATGTTTGGCTCGCGGAGCCGTGCCACACATAGGGCGCAAGTTACGACACTCTTTCACGAAGCGGCGTGGCTGAGCAGACAGAGGCTCCCGCGCCGCGAACACTTTTACGCCGACGACGGCGTTCGAGTCCCGCCGACGACTGGTTCGTTTTTTTTTTCGTATGTAAAGACATGTAATAAATATTTTTATATTGTTCTTATGTATAATTCCTTTCTTTGTTTCTACACTATTAATCAAGGCTAATTAGGAGAGTCAGGTCTTTCAAATATGGACACAACTTTTTTATTAATTACAATAAAATGTTTTTTTCGTGTAAATCTATTTCGCATAAATATTTCGTATGGTATGGGAAAGAAATAGCCAGACAGTGATTATTTTGTATGAGAGAACCCGAGAGCCGTTAGAATCGTTACAAGTGGAAAGGAACCCTCTTCCCTTTCCCCTTCTCGCAGAGGGATTCTCATGTTTTGTGACGTACTCGCTTCATTCTCTGGGCAGTCTTCGTAACGTGAACAGTGAAAAACTCGTGTTAAAAATGAAAACCACGTTTGTAGATGAAGCAACGATCAGCTATGTGCAAAATCTATCAAAATGTGATATTACGAAAGAAGAGTTGACGGACGCAATAGAATATCTTCGAGGTAAATATATTGAATGTGTGAGCAATGGAAAGATATATTTGTACGTATTGTTATTGGCCTTGTATACAATATTAATTATATTGAATTCATATTTGCAGATGTCCTGATACAATTTAATTTAATTAATAATGAAGCGCCAAGAAAATTATCAAAAAATTCCAAATTAATTGGCGGAAAATTGTTTGAAAAATTAATTAAACTGTTGGGAAAACAAAATATCAGATGAGGTGGAATATTATATAGCAGAAGGAGAAGACGTGATTGAAGAAGACGCGATGGAAGATGTTCAATCGTCTTCTTCGGACGAGCCTCATACGAGTCAAAGAACGGAAGAGTCTTCTCCGGACAAGCCTCATACGAGTCAAAGAACGGAAGACTACGAACCTCCGCAAAAAGTTGCAATATTTATGCGAAATAGATTTACATGAAAAAAACATTTTATTGTAATTAATAAAAAAGTTGTGTCCATATTTGAAAGACCTGACTCTCCTAATTAGCCTTGATTAATAGTGTAGAAACAAAGAAAGGAGTTATACGTAAGAACAATATAAAAATATTTATTACATGTCTTTACATACGAAAAAAAAACGAACCAGTCATCGGCGGGACTCGAACGCCGTCATCGGCGTAAAAGTGTTCGCGGCGCGGGAGCTTCTGTCTGCTCAGCCACGCCACTTCGTGAAAGAGTGTCGTAACTTGAGCCCTATGTGTGGCACGGCTCCGCGAGCCAAACTTTAACTGCAAATTACTCGTAAACAAAGACGCATTCATGCATATTATGTTAGGGCGTTTATACACGGCATCATAGCTATCGAGTGCTATAACTCGTGTTGAAATCGATGAAACAGGTTGCGTCATCTCCTTGTTAGTGAGCACTTTGTGACGTACTTTGTGACCGATGTATGCTCAATACGGCATTTAGCACAATCGCTTATTGAATATTCATATCCGTTTCTAACATGGTCAATTAAACCTTAATTTGAGTTTATACTCTCTGTAGACAAAATCTGAAATTCAGAATAAAGATTAATCAACGTTGGTGAGAAACGGCTATCAATGAGTGCTCGATTAGCATTCTAAGTCAATTTACTAGATATAAAACTCCCTAACTACTTACAGTGAGCGCTCACCATATTCGTAAACGTAGTTTTATATCGTTCACTTTGCTCACTCAGCTCACTTTAAGATCATTCTCCATTAATTGCACAATCGTAAGTTACAAGAAATTTGGCAATTGCAGTTTATTGTTTTTATTGCGAACGAAGAATATTAGATAGCTATTGACGAATTTCTTGTGACTTATAATTGTACGACTAATATAGAGTGAATTTTAGGCTCCTTTTCATTTTTTTCACGTCAATGTAATATCCCTAAAAGTTAGTATCTAGTAATAATTTTTGTGTTAGTTAATTTGTATTAGAAATATATTTGTCAGGGAGGATTCACACCTAGGCAGAAAAGCAAAAAGCAGAAAGGCAGCAGCCAATCAGAAGTCACGCTGGTAGTCTGTCCTTCTCTTCTGTCTCTCTCTCAAGAGAGGCTGCTTTTCTGCTTTCTACTTTTCTGCCCAGATGTAAATCTTCCCTCAGAAACGGTATTTATATCATGCATAAAATATTAAAGAATTTTCATATTAGTGCGCTAAATAATATCATTTAAAATGCAAAGACGCATTAATATGATAGTTTTACAAAATGGAATAGAGGATAATGATATGATTATTCAAAATATAGTAAATTATGAAAATACTTTGTATGGAGACGTGTTAAATAATAGAAATTTGCATTTTCATAATCAACAGTGATCGGAGTCAGCGATAGAAAACTACGCTTACGAATATAGTGTCTGCTCATTGTGAGCAATTAGAGAGCGTTTGCATCCAATAAATTGACCTAGGGTGCTCATTGAGCGTTCAGTGAGCGCTCAGTGAGCACTCGTGGTTCTGGATGCACCCATTATCATTTACGAGCATCAGCTACAAAACGGGCCATCTGGGCCTGTATGTTTGAACTCTTAACTTGTAATTAACTTAATTAATAATTAATAACTTAATTATAAATTACTTTAAATATTTAAATTAAATATTTTACTTTAAGATGATATTACAATATCAATATTCCCTTTCGTATTAAAATTTCTATCATTATTTGCATATTTAATAGTTATGTTAAATTTTTTAATGATACGATTCGATTTCATCCGATTCGATTCGAATTCGAATTTAAAAAATGAGATTCGATTCGATTCGACATAAAAATTCTTGATTCGTACATCTCTACTACCCAGTAAGCAAATTGAGCGCAGATTGCACGCAAGTTTGATCAGAAATCCATATCAAAACCGTAATCATTTGTGTCCACATTTAGCTAAGGTTTTGAAGACAGAGCCTGCTGCTGGACAATATATGTAAATTTACAGCGAAAACCGCGCGGAGCCTGCAATACAGCAGGCTCTGCTAGGTTTCTGCCGCTAATTTGCCGTCAAATCGCTGCAAGCTCTATGCAGTTTTTGCTGCAAATCTTCAGCAATTGTCCGATAATAGGTTCTGTCACTTTGACAATAGTTTGGAAGCAGGATTTTATATAACAGATCCTGCATCAAATGTGTTGCCTATTTGTCATAAAAAATTGGTAGCAGGTTCTGCTTCAAATCTGGTCGCTCAGGTTTGGCTATCTGGGTATATACTTTGTGAAAATTAAAATGTTTACATTCTCGTAATTATTATAAAATCTTAATTTTTAATTATAATTTTTATACAGACATACGTATCGCACATGAAACTTGTGTCCAAGTTTGCTGTGACCATTCCCACTGTGCCAAATGTGTGGTGTAATACACCATTAAGCTATTTATATAAAATTATGCGAATCTATGCTCTGAGACCAGAAATGCTAATCTGTGGTATGGTTTTGGTGATTATCCTATTTTACGTGCAAGCCGTAAATGTGTGGAGTAGAGCACTTATGGGCAGAATTCATTATACTCTGGGACGCACAACTTCCAAGGTACAAATATATTTTTAGGATAAACTATATTATTTTGATAATACATCAATATAAATAAATAGAAATAACAATTGTATATATTACATAAACTAATGAAGCTTCTTTTCGTTAAGTCAATTATAAACCTTTTCAAATATAGATAATCTTTTTTAAATGCTAATAATCTTTGAATACATAGTAGAAAGAGAGAGAGAGAGAGAGAGAGAGAGAGAGAGAGAGAGAGAGAGAGAGAGAAAGAGAGAGAAAGAGAGAAAGTAATTAACAAGGAAACACAGAAATATCCTCTTCCGATTTGGGTGAGCTTGAAATATGTAGTAATCTATATCAAAATAAGGGATATGAATTATTTGTACACGTACTCAATCAATCTTTTAAGGTTGATAAAACGTCCCTTTGAAAAAATCGATATTTTTCTTTCGAATCATACATCATGAAAAGTGTAAGAGATAGAAGAAAACTTTCCGAATCAAAATTTAATGATTTGAACTTATGATGGCATTTTCAGTTAAATTGTATAACCCATAAAAATTATATAACCCATACAAAAAAAATATTAAAATTTTAAATATATCTTCACTACTTATCAATTACACAGTACCACAGAATTAAAGAAATATTTTATTCCAAAAGAAAGAGCAACTGTTTCGTTATTTTGACGTGCTGAAATAGAATCCGTTTTACAAACAGAAATTCTTATCATGTTACATTTATGAGATACATGTGGTAAGAGGGTCTACAATTATATAATTCATATCGCAAATTAAAATAACGCAGATTATAAATTCTTATCTATGTAGAACCACAGTCATAAACTGTAAACCAACCGAACCAACTTTAAATCCATACATCCAAAACTCATATACTGTTGAAAATAAGATCTCAAAATGATCCGACTAGTGAAGGCAAGATTTGGAATTAATCCAGCCATAGTGAAAGTAGGACACAGATAAACCAATAACTTCACGTACCTCCTGTTTTGTTTTACTTTTTTTGTGTGATTGTATTTTCTTTTCTTCAAATGACTTTCGGATTGCTTTCCTTTTATGTGCCACTTCCTTGTGTCTCTTTTCAATACTCAACAACCAATAATCAACTATCATATTTTCGTCATATGTACCTTGGTATCTTCTTTCAATTTCCTTCAAGTCTTCAATTCAAGTAAAATTGTTCCCCCTGTCCTAGATTTTCGGGAAAGTAGTCGAGATGAGAGTGGAAAAAATGCAACTTTAAATTCATCCTAATTTATTATAGTTCGATAACATTGTTTCGGTGATTCTTTCGTAGTTTATAGTTTTTTTGTAGTTTACATTAGATGCTTAAATTAATTCTCGCTGTTGACTAATAGAGATCAGTAGTTGTGCTATTTCAATATGATTGAAAGTGACCGTTAGTATATATGAAAATACTGTCAATAGCCTTTAAATTAGCGTGTGACATTAGATCGGAGTACAAAGAACACAACTTTCTGCCGCATTGAAAATATCGGGTTTTGTACTAAAAAAAGAGCATTTGCGGAAAGCATTATTTTTCTGCTTTCATTTCAAGAAATCTGCTGCTGAAAGTCATTGTTTGCTGGTGGAGACTTATGGGGAGCATGCTGTATCTGAAACAACTTGTAGAGATTGGTTTGTGTCGGATTGACTCGGTTGTAGTAGCTCATAATACATTACATCGACTTAATCCCATCAAATGTACAGCACGACCTTTCCATGAATATCCTGTTGCAGCGTTGATGTTGATGATTCGCCGGGACGCATCCATAATTTCTTGCGGTTAGGATTGTCGTAACGAATCCATCTTTTATCGCCAGTCACAATTCAATGCAAAAATGACTTTTACTACATATTCATTAATATTCATTAATATTTATATTAACATATATTTATATTAATTTATATTAAATTTATATTAACATATTTATATTAAACGACTGCGTACTACATATTTATATATGTAGAGACGATTCAAAGACAACGATTTTGACGTGAATGACAAAGAGCGCTCTAGTCAACTGAAAAAGTTTGAAGATGGAGAATTGGAGGCATTACTATAAGAAAATGTCAGACACTAAAAGAGTTGTCGAACATTGAATATCGATGAGTCAACCATGAAAGAAGGAGGGCGTACTAGGTGGCGACGGGACGCCGTGCGTCGGGACCTGCATCTTATTTTGTTCCGGAGAGAGAAAAATATCGGGAGCGCGGCCCTGGCTAAGCCGGGAATAGAACCCGGGTTCGCTTACCGGGCGACTGCTTTAGACCACTGAGCTACCTGACGCCTCACGCTCACGACACTCTTCTCTCCCTAGATAGTTAGCGAACGTTTAAAAGCAATGAGAACGATCCAGAAATTAGGAAATTGGATTCTACATAAATTGAGAGAACGAGATATTGCGAAACGTTTAACCATTTGTGAATTGCTGCTTCAAAGTAAAAAACGGAAGTTGTTTTTGCATCTGATTGTGACTGACAATCCTAAGTGCAAGAAATCATGGGTGCGTCTCAGCAAACCATCAACATCAACGCCACAACAGGATATGGAAAGAAGATCATGCTGTATATTTGGTGGGATCAAATTGGTGTAGTATATTATGAGTTGCTACAATCGAGTCAAGCCATTAATGCTGAACGCGACTGATGACAATTACCCAATTTGAATCGAGCACTCAGAAAAACGCCCGCAATACGCTAAAAGATATAAAATTATTTTTCTCTATGATAATGCTAGACCACATGTTGCAAAACCAATGAAGGAAATCTTGAAGGCACTTGGATGGAATGTCCCACCCGTCCTATTCACCAGACATTGTTTTTTCAGATTACCATTTGTTTCGGTCGATGTAGCATAGCCTTTCTGAGCAGTACTTCAGATCTTTCGAAGATCTTTCAAAAAATGGTTCGATGGCTGGATCATCTTAAAAGAACCTGAATCTTTTTACCGCGGAATCCATGTATTACCCGAAAAGTGGGAAAAGGTTGTAGTTTCCGAAGGACAATATTTTGAATAAAATATAATGTACTGTTCTTTTGAAGAAGACATGAGTTTTTGTTGCAAAAAACAGCGAGAATTAATTCAAACACCTAATAATTTATTTGTGTTTCGCCTTCACTGGCCGGATTAATTACAGATTTTGCCTTCACTGGAGGGATCTTGTCTTTACTAGCTGAATTAATTCTAGATCTACTAGATTCACTAAATGGATCATTTCGAGATTTTGTCCTCAAGGGTATACACAGTGTGGCTAAAACGTTTTAGGACTGATGCAATAGAAATAAAGCAATAGAAATGGCGTTATCTGTATGCGACAAACGAAAGCAGATAGTTCAAAATCTTTTAAATACGTTTGCCAAATTGCATCAATTTCCATTTAATTCTCGCAAAGATATAACGTTTCCTGTGTCGTGTGTTACTTGCGATTATCATGTAATCATATAACGCGTCATCTCACAATACAGCAGCAATTTACTAATATTTAGCGAAAAAAGAAAACACTTACTGTGCTATATCATCTACTGTACTCACCGGATTGGGTACCGGCGGATTATTTTTTGTTTCCAAAGTTAAAATTGAAGCTAAAAGAATAGTAATTCGACGATATCAAGACGACTTAATAACGCAGGTAACGTAACGAGGGAGCTACGAAACATTTCAGCAACGAATTTCCAACATGCTTTGGAGCGGCTAGTGGAGTGCACCGAACGATGTATAGCTTTATAAGAGTATGTATTGGCTATCATATGTATCATATGATATATGTATCATATGTATTGGCTTATTCAAAAAGTCATTATGTTTATTTCCGATAGATGTGTTACGTTCTGGAGGAGGAACGTAACTTGACGCTCGCTTTCACAAGCTCCGATGTACTCGCAAGTCTGCGGTGCAGGTCAAGGATCGGAATGACCCCTTTATCTGGCGCGGACGTACGTCGGTGGTCCTTTATTTAGGCCAAGGAACTGAGTCCTTTTACCTGGGACAGGACCGTGAGCGACAGTTGAGGGAAGGGAGAATTTTTGTTGAGAATAATTAGTTGGAAAACGTGATTGGCTTATAATTACAAATAATTTGTTTTATTGATGATTAAGTGGAAATCACAATGAAATAAAATTTGTAAAATTTTATAATGTGTACGTATACAGGGTGAAGAAAAAACTCCGGGACCCCTGAAAATTTCGAAAAATATACACTATAAAAAAATGTTTCAGACAAAAGTTGTAGCGTTGAAAAAGATCTATTTACCGATCTTAACAATTTGTCCTTGGGTGGCGTTATCAAGGTCAGGACAAGGTCACCTTGGATTTTTTAAATGGAACCCCAATTTTTTATTGCATATTCTGATAGCCCTTCTTCAGACCTTTTCAAAGCACTATGATTTTATCCAATTTGAATAAGTTGTTCCGAAGTTATCGAGTTTTTTAAAGTGAGATATCTAGCCAATTAAGGCAAGATCGGAGGATGATCCGACCAACTAAGGCAAGGTCGTAGGATGATCCGGCCAACTAAGGCAAGATCGGAGGATGATCCGGCCAACTAAGGCAAGATCGGAGGATGATCCAGCCAACTCGTAAATTGCGCGACTAACTTCCAGGCGTTGGCTCCTATTGGCTTGTCTTAATTTCGTTGATTGATTTATTTCAGTTATTTATTTATTTGAACTATTCTGCTGTTCGATGTTTATTTCTTCCATTTACTCATTTAATACTCATTACAGTTTAGTGAATCGCAAACTCGACTGAAATTCTTCTATTTTTTTGAAAATTATTAAGAAACAGTTTGAAGCTGACTTAATTGCACTTCATTCCGTGTTCATTATTATTCTTCAGCACTGTCTTTAGAATAACTTTGAATTGATCCAAATATTAATTTAGTCGATTACACTAAATCTTACCACTTCTGCTTGTTAATATGGTAAGTCTTTCAGAACGAGAACGCATATCTCTTTTGATGATGAGAGGATGGGATGATCGACTACAGTCGTACAATGATGTGAGGCGGCTTTTTAATAAAACTTTTCGTAATCAGAGTAATGCCATTTCAAAATCTACCGTTGAAAGAACGATAAGGCGTTTTCAGGAAACTGGAAGTGTGAAAAATCGTGCAATATCAGGTAGGCCAGTATCAGTAACAAGTGTAGAAAAATCATTAGATGTTCTACAATCCTTTATCAAAAATCCGCATGATTCGACTCGCAAAGCAAGACAGCAACATGAAATAGATCAAATATCTGTGCTTAAAATATTGAAAATGAATAAATTTTATCCTTATAAGATCCATCTTGTACAAGAGCTAAATGAAGATGATTTTGATAGGCGCATTGAATTTTGTGATTTGATGATGGAAAAAATAGCCGAAGATCCTAACTATCTATTAAATGTAGTATTTTCAGACGAGGCAACATTTCAGTTAAATGGTTACGTTAATTGACACAATTGTAGATTTTGGTCAGATACAAATCTTCAATGGATTGAAGAAACACACACGCAGTATCCACAGAAAGTGAATGTTTGGGTAGGCATTTTGAATAATGTTCTCATAGGTCCACTCTTTATTGACGGAAATCTAACAGCGATAAAATATGAGAATATGCTAAGAAACGAAATAGTTCCAGCGATACAAGCAATCATGGATGACAACTTCGAGCATACATGGTTCCAACAAGATCCCCTCCCCCACATTACGGAAGGGACGTCCGTAATTATCTGGACACAGTGTTTCCTCATCGATGGATAGGTAGAAGAGGACCTATAGAATGGCCTCCTCGATCACCCGATTTATCACCTAACGATTACTTCCTGTGGGGTTATTTAAAAGATAGAGTTTACAAAACGAAACCACAAAATTTGGATGACTTACGAAATCGAATTCTTAATGAAGCTGCTCTCATCCCTGCTGATTACATTCAAAAAGCCGTTTCATCTTTTTACGATAGATTAGCTTATTGTCAAACTGTTGATGGCGGACATTTTGAACAATTACTTTAAAGCTTTCCAGTATTGCCTTAGTTGGCCAGACAACTCCCGACCTTGCCTTAGTTGGCCGGATCATCCTACGATCTTGCCTTAGTTGGCTGGATCATCCTCCGATCTTGCCTTAGTTGGTCGGATCATCCTCCGATCTTGCCTTAGTTGGCTGGATCATTCTCCGATCTTGCCTTAGTTGGCCGGATCATCCTCCGATCTTGCCTTAGTTGGCTAGATATCTTACTTTAAAAAACTCGATAACTTCGGAACAGCTTATTCAAATTGGTTAAAACCATAATGCTTTGAAAAGGTCTGAAGAAGGGCTATAAGAATATGCAATAAAAAATTGGAAGTTCCATTTAAAAAATCCGAGGTGACCTTTTCCTGACCTTGATGACGCCACCCAAGGTCAAAAAGATCCGTAAATATATATTTTTCAACGCTATAACTTTTGTCTGAAACATTTTTTTATAAAGTGTATATTTTTCGAAATTTTCAAGGGTCCCGGGGTTTTTCCTTCACCCTGTATATATGTATAAACAATCGCGGTCTGAACAAAATTTCGTGTTCGTTATGTCCGACTATGATCGAAAAGATTGGGCCACTGAAACCGGATTTCACAATTAAGGAGGAATGCCAAGGAGCTAAAAAAAGGAAGAAAAAGGAAAGGAAAAGAAAAAAGAGAAGGAAAATAAAAAGAAAGGGGTCAATCAGGCAAGAGAAAATATAAATAACTTACTGCTGGTTCTATATTATTAGCCGATAATGAAAAGACCAACTGCTGCGAGTCTGCGAGGGTGGATGATTCAAGTTCTGCGCCAAGAATAGGAAGTTGGTTTCTGCTGGATTGCTGACGATAGTCCAAAAATGCGCGAGAACGTTGTACAGAATAATTAACAACTGGAGAAATACTGATCTGTCTAAGCTACTAGTAGGCTAGATTGTTAGGAGACCCTGAAGAGGTGCTGAAGAGAAGCTTCTGTCCTGGCTGCGGGTCGGTCGAGAAGCCTTTGGCCTTTTGGCTTTTCTCAAAACGTCAGTTCGATTGAGAGAGTGGGGTTTGGGGAATTGTTAGGAAATCTAATTTTCATGCCCAAATATGGTCATAGGACTGTGCTTCGAATGTTTTTTAGAGGTGGGGGTTAAGAGTACGTTACAGTGTCTTTAAGATAATGTTGTAAGAGATAAGATGCATATGGCAATAAGAGGATTTCGAGAGTCTTTTTGTTTAAAAAGCATGTGAATCTTAAGAAGGAAATATCGATATTTCTAAGAAAGATGTCGCGATATTGTTATCGTTTACTAAGCGCGTGAGAAACAAGATCAGAGTTGGTTCAAGGATTGTTAATATTTCTGGAGCATCGAAACTTCCAGAGATCGCGTCGTGTGATATTATGCCTAAGCGCATCTGGCCATATAATAAGTAATAATAAATTCAATTTTCCTTATTTATAAAAGAAGTGCGTGGAGTCCGCAGGACATAACAGATGGTTTTAATTGTATATTAGATTGTCTAAAAAGTATTGAGCCTTTGGAGATCAAAATTGAGAATACATTTATTGTTATTTGAAAATAACTTGAAAATAATTATTAAACCACATATGCACCATTTTGTTCGATGACTTTTCCGGTAATACCATATTCCCGTCGCTACAGAACTTCTGGTGAAAAAATTATGATACGTGGTTTTCACAGGTTTCTTTTGAAACTAACTTAACACCATTCAAGGAGTTCTGCAGATACTGAAACAAATGGTAGTCTGACGGTGCCAGGTCCGGGCTATACGGTGGACGCATTAAATCCTCCCAGCCAAGTTCTCTCAATTTCTGACGAGTCGTTAAACATGTATGCGGTCTGGTGTTGTCAGCGTGATATACGACGTCCTTTCTGTTGACCAGTTCCGGCCGTTTCTTTTAAATTGCTAGGTGCAATCGCGCTAATTATCGACAGCACAGGTCCGAGTCTATCGTTCTGCCTGGCAGCAACAGCTCATGATGCACGATGTCCTACCAATCCCACCAAACATACAGCATAACCTTTCTGGGTGTCAGTGTGGGCTTTACCACAGACTGTGGAACTTCTCCTCGCTTCGACCACGACCTTTTTCGCACATTGTTGTCGTAGGTTATCCATTTTTCATCGTTCGTGATTAACCGCTACAGAAATAGCTCGATTTCGTTACGTTTCAGTAGAGATTTGCAGATAGAAATTTGATTGAGTAAATTTTTTTGAATCAGATCATGTGGCACCCAAACATCGAGCTTCTTTTTGTAGCCAGCTTTCTCCAAATGGTTTAACACTGTTTAGTGATGGATGTTTAGGTCATTGGCGATGTCGTGACTGTTTACATGCCGGTTTTGCTCGACTTTTGCCAGAATATCATTCACTTTTTCTGTGATTGGTCGCCCACTGCGAGGAGCATCTTGGACATCGAAATTTCCAGAGCGAAAGCGATTGAACCATCTTTTGGCTGTTACTTTTGATAACGTATCTTGCCCATAAACAGCACAAATTTTTTCACGGGCCTGCGCAACATTTGCGCCTTTATTGAAATAAAATTGTAAAATGTAGTGCAATTTTGCGAAAAGTTCACTCATCTTCACGGCCGCGGCGCAATATCTTACGTCTGATTATAAAAATTCCAACATTTTTTGTCTACTAGCTGTCTACTAGCTTCAACTGTCAGCTATCAAATGACGTTAGGCCTGACCTGCTGCGACTCATATACTCTGAGATTTGGGACACTAACGCTATCTCGTGCGCAAAAGGCTTAATACTTTTTAGACAACCTGATATTTAATATACAGGATGCACGATTTATCTGAAGACATTGAAATATCTCGAGAACTATGCATTGGATAAAAAAAAGTGATTAATGAAAGTTGTTAGTCTCGAAGGGGGACATCCAATGATACCAAACTCGACCTCCCACCCCACCCCCTGGGGGTGGGGGTTGGGGGCAACTTTGAAATCTTAAATAGAAATCCCCATTTT